ACCGATAACGATAAACAATGGTTATTATTGTCTCATATATACATGATCCCCACATAGAAAGGCATGCATACTAAACATCATATGGTTGATGTTCTTGGTGGGTTATTCGATGTCTAATTGGATCCAATTTTTGGGTTAATAAAAATTTAAAACAGTATATTTTGATGTATTGTGATTCTTTAATTGCTTTTAATCGTTTAAACCCTAATATATGGTAAATCTCAATCTCTCAATTAAACACAACTTATATGTTAGTTCATGATCTTTAACCGTAAGTGAAATCGATGGTGGCCAATGATGGATTATGTTGGACCTCATAATAAACAAGAAGTGGTCCTTAGTTAGGAAGAACGGGTTAAGAACCAATGCATGTTGCCTTAAACATATCCAAGTATGAGACTCAACTTATCCTTTATCGCCTTTCTAAGTTTATTACTACACTAGGGGAATATCCATGCATTACGCATGTTAAGTTATAAATTTTTTGACAAATATATTATGTTGAAAATAATTATGTTATTGACATTAACTATAAAATAATAATTGTTACACTAAATTGATTATTATAATATTCAATAACATCTATTCAAAGCTTACATGTTAATAAAACTAAAATTAAATATTGATTTGTGTTACTTTTAACTTTTTAACTATTCTTATGATCAATTAATTTAAAAATTACTTATTTACTTTTTTTTTTTTTTTTTTTTGATCATGATGATTATTTGAAATATTAACAATGTTTGCAAATTTGTGGAGTTTCAAATAAATATCAATTCATATTGATATTTAAACATTTAAGCCTTTTTTAGCTATTTTAAAAAATAATCTGTCTATTTTCAATTTTATTTGATATTTTGATTTAGATTTTGGATTTAATATCATATTTAAATTAACAAATTAAATACATTATATTGATAATTGAAAAAGTTAACAATTAATATGGTAATATTCTATATATAATAACATACTTAAATTAATAAATCCAATATATGAGATGGAAAGTTTAAGGGTCAGTGGGTTTCAAATGAATATGATCAAACGAAAAAAAAAAATTTCCTTCATAATATAGTATAGATATAAATTTTAAAATGCAAACTAATTTGTATACAATAAATTTTCTCCATACATAACAATTTGTGTTTTAAATTGTTGTATTGTACAATTCTATAAAGCATAAATTGTTGTGTATGAAAAAAAACGTTGTGCACGAATCACTAGCCTTTTAAAATCAAATTGGCATCGTAAAAGTGATGACGTTATAATAAAACCACAACAATTAAAAACAAAAGCAATTCATAATATGTAATTGAGTTTCGGACATCTAGAAGTTTTTTATCATGTTCATTGGTTTCAAACTTGTTCTTCCTTTCTATATAAAGAGAAAAATCAATAAAAAGTATTGAGTTTCAAACATGATGAGCTTCGAACATGTCAACTTTTATAGAAAGTCAATGAACTATGTATGTACATTTTATACATATTTCTACACTACAAAAGATGCTAAAACAAAATTCCAACCAATATATCCTTACATGTAGGTTTTAAATTTTCAAACAGGTTCTTCGTGTTTTAGTGTCAAAGATTAAAAAGTAAAAGAAACTTTAAATGGATAACTACATGAACTAGTAGAAGATTTACATGTTGTATACATTTAATGAATTTGTCATTTTTGTGATTATCCGATCCCCTTTTTAATTGTTTTTTTAGGTAAAGGCTCTATAGCCATTTTTGACCACTTTACCCTTCTATATTGTGTATAAATAGGAGTGGTTTCATTTGGTTCTAGAACAACTACAAAAACATTGTACTTTCAAATTATTTCTTATGATGGCATTGTACATTGAAAAATCTATACAATTATAGCAATGGTTAACTTGTTACCTTTTAAACAGTTACTAGATTTTTCATAATGCTACAATAAGAAATATTTTGAAAGTAGAATGTTGTAATAAGAGGAAATGAAATCAAAATGCTACAGTTAAAAAATGGCAAATATAATATAACATTGTACTTTTATTTCTTTACAAGTTTAAATTATGATGGGCTAAATGTAAGATATAGTGATGTATTTTCTATTTTTTTATTATAAGTTATAACATTGTACTTTAATTTTCTTCTTATTAAGGTATAGCACTTTCAAATTACTGCACAGTTATAATAATCTCGGGTAGGAAGCAATGATTAATCATGCATAAAATCTTGCATATCTATGAACTAGTGTAGAATATAACAGATGATAAAAGGAAGAAATAATTGTTCTATAAGTTGCAAAAATAGTTTAGTAAATTGTTCAAAATGAGATACTGCATAACTGACCAATCAAATTGCTGCTATTGGCTTCAGCTTTGCCCTCAAGAATTCCAGCATGTGTTCACGTTTCCAGTTGTCAATTCTACATTAGATAACATGGTTTATCATTAATGACAAATGACAATATCAAACCATTTAGGGTTTCAAGATTTTGTTGATAACAAGCATATGAAACTAAGAAAAAACCATACCTTATGATTTCTTTATGTTGTCCAGCATCATCCAACATTATCAACTTTGGTGGAGCGTTAAATAGATATTGAATTTTAACAGAAGGGAACTTTTCTTTCTCATCTTCAATGAAACTGACAACTTCTGGATAGAACACGAGCTTCCTCATGCATACCTCAAGAACAGCACCAGAGTAGATTATCTGTAATCCATGAAGGTTAGAACTTAGATGATATTGTATGAGAGAAAGTATAGCTTTGAGACCTTGCTAATGGAGTCATCAGAATCTTCAGCACAACACTTTTTGCAATCAGAGAGTAGTTCTGCAATCAATCAGACAAGTGTAAGTAGTTCAGTTTAATTATTTTAGGAATGATAACCATCTTCTGTTTCAATCTGATTTCTAACAACGTGTTGGATTCAAAGCTGGTGCTAAAGATTATACATTGATCTTGGGTTTTCATTCTTCCTCTTGGATTTCAACAGAGCTTTCTCTTATGGTTAGAGATCAAAACCTATTACTACCAGAAAGGATAATTCTATTAATTTTATTGAAATTTGAACACCAACAAACCTCTTTTGTATAACTATAAGCTTCAATACAGTAGGCAACATCTTTTCAGAAAAAATTGAGCATCCATAATCAATTTCACACAGAGTAGCTTTTCTTAGGGAGATGAAGAGAGTGGTAATTAGAGGATAGAATCACAAAAATCTCCGATCAAAATACGAAATCAACTCAATTCAATCCAGCATGTCAACAAACACGGATAACTGTGACTATAATATGCTTCGTGCGCAGAATATGACCATATAAGATCCCGAATCAACAAAGAATAATATATATATATATATATATATATATATATATATAGAGAGAGAGAGAGAGAGAGAGAGAAGAAGAAGAAGAAGACCTTGATCCTTGACATATTCGGCGAGAGCATTACAATCGGAACAGAGGGCGAGACCTGTAAACCCTAGATCCTCACACTCTTTGGAGCTCAGCTTATCAGCTCTTGAACATACGAACAGCAAGATTACTGCGTAAATTAGCTTCCACATTATGAACAATCGATCGATTCTCTAAATTCCACAGCTGTTGAATGAATAATTTGACTTCAAAGACGAGACTCCACTCGTACAAAATACCCGATTCAACCCTCAATGCAAGAATGTAGAATCCATGTATACACAGATACACTAACGAAGTTAACTTTTAGAGTAAATTACATTTTTAGTCCCTACACCAACTTTTATATTTATCCCAAAACAATTTTTTTTTTTTTTTGGAAATTTGCTCAATGTTTTGAAATTTCCTAACGATTTTGTTATCTATTACATATAATTTAATTGGTATGTTTCAAAAATACAACATCCGTGATTTGGGAAAAAAAATTAACCCTTCAATGAATTTTTATAAAATATAAATTAAATTGAGTTGATAGAATTTAAGGTTAAATTAAAGTTAATTCAATTACATTTAGTAGATTGTTAAGTGAAAGTTATAGTTAAAAAACTTGAGTAAACTGCAAATTTGGTTCCTATGGTTTGCTAAAAACTATACATGCTGCCTGAACTGAAATGACTATTTTTCACATATAAGATATATGTACCATGTTAAGTCGATAATGGATCTTACGTTTGTTACTAGAAACAAACCCAATCGTCATATCATATAATTTACACCCCAAGCTACAAAAAACTTAATGAAACATGATTTCTTGAAAAGATTATTAGCAGCATCAACGCTAAACTCCAACCTGAGGTGTAATAATCACTCAATCCACAACAAAATCCCATTCAGACATTTCGACAAACAGTTAATATGCATATGCAAAAACACCAAAAATAGAAACGTATACAGTGCTAATGAAAACGGAAGTCTATAAAACAGAGACATAACGATTAACGAACTAGAACAAAGTCACTAATGTTTGTTCTCTTCAGCAGCTTTCTCTTCCTTCCCAAGAGCAACAACTAACTTCTTCAAAATCGCCTCAACCGACTGATGCGAATTCTCAACCGCCTTCGATATCACCTGCCACCTCTCCCCATGCTTCGGTTCAGCCACAACACATTTCCTCAACACCTCCTCCCGCTGTTCCTCACTTCCATGCTGCAACTCAAATTTATAAAGCAACCCCCAAAAATCCCCAACATCCGGTGCCAAAGTAACCGCTCTATTCAACCAAGTCCTCGCCTTATCCACCTTCCTATCCCCCCAAAACAACTTCCCAATCGCCGCAATCACATGCGGATCATGCTCACACTTCTTATACGCGTCCGAACTTTTCGTCTTCCGTTGTGGCCTCGGTGCCATTTCAATCGAAGCCGCCCATAAAATCCCGCTATTCGGACACTCTTGCAACGCCTTCGCCATCAAATTATCCGCCTCCTTTTTCGACCCGTGTCTCAACTCCACCCTCACCGCCGCCAACCACAACTCCGGGTTTTGCGGGTTCCGCTTCCTCGCCGTGGTTAAAACCGCCCGAACTTTACCCAACCCTGAAAGTCTCTCTTCGAGACTGGCGAGGGATAACCAAAGCGGGGTTGAGTTCGGGCAGTGTTTTAACCCGGACTCGTACGCGGTCCTCGCGTCGGTTGACCGCTCGAGCCGCTCCTCGAGCTGCCCGAGCATCAACCATAATTTGAAAAAAGACGGAAATAGCCTCAATCCTTCGTCTAACAACTTTCGTTCTTCCTCCACGTTTCCCAATTCGCGTTCGACAATTGCGGATTTCATCCACACGCGCTCGGTCCCACCGCGTTCACGTGCTTTAGCTAAAAGCATACGCGCTCGCTCCGGCTCGTTGTTTTCGAACTCGAGTTTGAACGCTGCGAGCCAAATTTCTTCCGAATTTGGGATCGCGGCGTACGCTTCTTGGAGAATCGCTCTAGCGGCTGGGACATCGCCCGCGAGCCACTTCTCTTTCGCGCCCATGAGCCATAACACTTCGGCTTGCGGTCGGTAAGTAACCGCTTTACGAAGTAACGCGTCAAGCGATTCGCGGGTCCCGTGAGCTTTCTCGAGTTGAGCCGCTTTTAGCCAAACACTTTTTTTCGTTAGAAACACGGTTAGCGCGTGCGCGTAGATAGCGCGTGCGGTTTCGATGGAGCCCCGTTTTTTACATTCCTCTGCGTCTGCAACCCATGTTGTTTTTCTATCTTCCTCTTCAACTCCGATTCCGATTGTGTTACTTATAATCGCGTTACATGTAACTACGGACCCCGCTCTTTCGGAAGCTTCCGCTTCTTTCATCCAAGCTTCTCGATCGATTTCAAGACCTTCTCTTTGCAACGCGCGTATACCTCTTTCGATAATCTTTCCAACCATGGTTGTGTTACCGTTGGCTTCTTCTAACTTAGCCGCGGTTATCCAAATCGCGGGCTCTTTCGGAAGCTTTTCACGCGCTTTATTCAACACTTTTTTAGCAGCGTCATATGTTTCTAATCGGGCTAACGCGAGCCATAATTCGACATGTAACGGGCAACATTCGACAGCGCGTTGAAGTAAAAGTTTCGCGTCTTCTTCATTAGCAAGTTCAACAACCGCTTTCCATAATCGAACAGAATCCGGTATATTTTCAAGACCTTTTCTTAAAACCCGACTTTTACTCGCGTCATCGTGTTCCAACTTTGCAGCTTGCATCCAGAGTTTGACCGAGTTCGGAATTGCTTTGACCCCACGAGCGATTACGGCTTTTGCTTCATCGGGATTTGATAATCGACATGCTTCGATCCATACGTCTTCGTTTTTCGGGCATTCTTCACATCCTTTTTTGATTAACTCTCTTGCTGTTTGGATCTTTCCTGCAACTTCTTCTAATCTTGCAGCTGCAATCCAGCCAGGTGGATGTTTTGGATTGGTTTGAATGACGGATTTCAATAACAACCGAGCTTTCTTGATGTCTGATATCTCAGCATCACTTGTGATCTTCATACTTTTGAGATCGGTTAAGTACCCTTTCGGGTCAACAACGGTCAAACCCGAAACAGAATCTGAAAGTCTGTCAAGTTTTAATGACAAAACCGTCCCTCGACCCTCACCAACAGCGGTCAAGTCGGGTGTTTGAGACCATGGTGTCTCGGTTCCACCCACGGCTCGACTTTTTGGATCTAATGCAGTCACGTGTTCCTTTTCTTGTCTAGCTTTTTCAAGTAAGGTATCGGGTACAGGAACAAAGCTTTCAAATCTTTTCTTTTTGTTTCTTAAAGAATAATCACCAATTTCAGGGATACTATCCCATTCTGCAGCAGAAAGTGTGACTAATTTTCTCTTGAGATCAGCAAATTGTTCGGTGATTTTAGGGTTTGAAGCTCGATACTTTTCGATTTCTTCCTTTAACCTTGCTTCTCTTCTGTCTTTTCTTCTTGAATCCATTCTCTTATCGATTTCATCCCACACAGCATCGGCTTCTTTATCTTCTTCATCATATTCAGCAGAAGCAAACAATCCAACATCATTACCTTCAAACTCATCGAATTTCTGATTTTCATCGTATCCCTTGTCTTCAGCTTCCTCCTCTTCTTCTTCTTCTTCACCTGGACCTTTACCTCTCCCACGCCCAACACCAGAAGGGCCTGCAGCACCGACAGCAGCTGCTGACCTGTCAGGGAGGTCAGGGGCGGCACGGGCAGGACCGATATCGGATCGGGTGGTGAAACCGGTGGCTCCACGGCCTAATCCAGCTACATAATTTGGTGGAGGTCTGGTGTTGAGAAACTCTAATCGGTTCTTGGGTGCTACAGGGGCTTGCATGATGCCTAATAACAACAAAAGAAAATGGAAAAAATTTAAACCTTGATAGCAATAACACAGATTCTCACGTCACAAAACAGATGCGTAAGGTAAAATTTATCTAAGTCTCCACGAGTAACTGTGGATGATAAGCAAAAAACCTAAGTGAAGTAACAATTAAAAGAGCAATATGCATAGAATCATAATATTAGGGCACCAAATGAGTTGCAAAAACTTTCAAGAGCAAATACCGATTCAAAAAAGCACACTTTACCGGAAATCACTCGGATTTTCAAATCTAGGGTTAGTGTTGTCTAATGGCGCGATTGGAAACGCTATATAACCACAATTTCAACTCGAAATCAATACGTATAACACTACAGGAGAACCGGAAATCAATCACGTACCTGTGTCGTTGAAACTCTGATCGGAGCTGAGATCCGGTGTAAAAATTGATAGATGAGAAGGTTTATCCAATTGGGGTACAAGGCGACGCCCGCGACAGAGTTAAAAAGAGAAGCCCCGCTATGGAGAAATATAAAAGAGAAGGACGAGTCGGTGTGTGGTCCGTTTTAGCAGGTCAATAAACACTTGTTTTAAAATGTGGTTGGATGATCTTATTATTAGGTTATTATTAGGAATAAGCAATAAACAATAAGTATAATAAGCAATAAACAATAAGTATTTTAAGAGGGTGTATGGATATGAAAAAAATAGGTTGTTTATTACGTATTTCTTAATCTCACAGCAATAAGCAAATTTAAATATTTGGATAGGAGTCTTTAAAAATCAGCTTATTGCGGTATAAATAAGCCAAATAAACTGATTTTAATAAGCAAGGGATGAATGTTTATTACTTATTGCTTACTGCTTATTGGTCATTTTACTCATATAAGTTGTTTTATTTGCTAAACACTTAAAGTGTTTATTGTTTATTGTTTATTCTCACCGTAATAAGTTAATTCAAACATATTTTAAACAAGTGTGTATTCTCACCACAATAAGCAAATAAACAATAAGCTAATAAGTGTTTGGCAAACAAAACAACTTATATGAGTAAAATGACCAATAAACAATAAGCATTCCCCCCTTGTTTATTAAAATCGGTTTATTTGGTTTATTCCTACCGCAATAAACTGATTTTTAAAGACTTTTATCCAAACGCTTAAATTTATTTATTGCGATGGGATTAAGCAATAAGCAATAAACAGCCTATTTTTTCTATGTCCAAACATCCCCTTAAGGGGTGTTAGGGATTAAAAAAAGTTTTTTTTTTTTTTTTTTTTTTTTTTTTTTTTTTTTTTGTTGTAAAAATGAGTTTTTAAAAAAATGTTTGGATTAATTTTAAGAAGGCAAAGATCAAAAATCAAAAGTCACCAAAATCATAAATTTTGTTTATAAAAGAGCTTATTTTCCTTCTTTACTAAACATATTTTTAAACTTTTAGTTTTTTGAGAAAGCTAAAAGTTTA